CCAGAGGAATCGGGTGGAGAGGGAGGTGGGAGGGGGGAGCGGGATGGGGAATACATGTAACTCCATGGCTGATTCATGTCAATGTATGACAAAACCCACTACAATATTGTAAAGTAATTAGCCTCCAACTAATAAAAATAAATGAAAAAAAAAACCACAGAGGACTTCCCAGGTGGTGCTAACAGTAAAGAACCCTGCTGCCAGTGCAGGAGACATGGGTTTGATCCCCCGGCAGGGAAGATCCCCTGGAGGAGGGCATGGCAACCCACTCCAGTATTCTTGCCTGGAGAATCCTATGGACAGAGGAGCCTGGTGAGCTACAGTCCATGGGGTCGCAAAGAGTCGAACACTATTAAATGACTTAGCACACAAAAACACAAAACCCACAGCCTTGACAGGCACACACTGGTATATTTAAAATGGATAGCCCACAAGGACCTACTGTACAGCACAGGGAACTCTGATGGGTGTTATGTGGCACACCAAATGGGAGGGAAATTTGGGGGAGAATGGATACATGTATATGTATGGCTGAGGCCCTCGGCTGTCCACCTGGAACCAGCACAACATTGTTAATTAGGCATACTCCAATACAAAATTAAAAGTTCAATAAAAATAAATTAATTTTTAAAAAGTGCAGCCTTAACTTGATGGACGGGCCACCCTGTTCAGGATGCTGTGTTGGTCCTCACACCTGCCTCCTGGTATAAGAAGAATTACATCAACTCAAGATTTCTGGGCAGGAGCTCAGACTGTTTGGGGAGATTTTTACCTGCACATGGGCTTTATCTGTTTTTTCACTGTATGTCCCCAGAGGGTGTATGACCAGAGACTAAGGAACTGCCCCACAAAAAGAATGAGTTGATCGTTTCCTAGTCAGTTCCATGCTGGGACAACCAACAGTTGACGCAAGGATGTAAGAGGCAAGATACTGACTGCGCAACCTCAGCTGTCCAGGTTAACCATCCTGACAATCCTAATGTTTGTAGATACCTTCTCAGTTTATTCATCTCTCAAATACAGAGATTGCCCAGCAATCTCTCAGAGATGCCTTGAAGAGCAAACGTAATTGATTAGGGGAGAGCCCCCTCAATTGCAGAGTACTATACCACGGTCAGACGTCATCATTAGAGTGACCAGATAAATCGGGCCATTACAGACATCACCCTGTCTCGCCTTGTGGAGACACAAAGTGAACGGTAGCTGTTTGCAGAGTTAGGGAAGGCTTGCGCGGGCTTTTGAAACCAGTAATGGTATACTTCTTCCACAAGGTAACATTCTACCAGGCACATCCGTCACCCAGCTCAGAGCAGTGATTTCTTAAACCCTAGCTCCGTCTAGTGGTTCTTTGCTCTATTACAAATGAGATAACAAGCAGTGTGGATGAGAACTTGGAGATGTATTGATGCTGAGCTGGTTCGGAGGTGTCTGCCTACTTCATTTGAATCAATTCATTTGAATAAGGCTCTTAAGGTTATGTGATCTACTGCAGGCCCAAGGGGAGATTTTTCATGATGATATTAAATCTGTCAAGCAACCTCATAATCCTGCTTGTGAAAGGAAGATAAAGAAAAGAATGGGTGGAACGGGGGAGCTATCAGAGAGAGTTAATAAAATTTCTCAGATTTTAATGAGCTCTCATGTTCCAAGGCTCGGGTATAAAGGAAACAGATGATATTCATTTGACGTGAGAGATGTTAAAGCCATGGCAGGTTACCTGATAAGAAAAAGGGGCAAAGAGGTACCTTCCGTTTTTAATTTCAAGTGCGCTACCACTGTGGTTCTCGGCACACACTGTGTGTATGTGTGTGGGCACCAATCTGAATACTGTCATTTTTAGTGGCACCCTTGAAGAAATTAAAAGACCCCAAACATCACTTAAACAGTCAGGAATCTTTAACCACTATATCTACTCAGTGTGAGAGTATCTCATGGCATCTCCAAAAAAACACATCCTCTGTCCCGCCCCATCCCCTTGGCCGGCCCTCAGCACTCTGACTATGGGAGTGAAGCTGTGTCCTGCCTTGGCCAGGTTCTCTTGGCTACACGCAGGCCTAGGTTGCGTGTGTGCAGTAAAACACCATCTTTGTCTGGACTGGCTAGACAGTGCAGCGTATTATGCTCCTTACCTCTTACTTCCCACCTTCTGTTTCCCACTCTGGATTCACTTCCAGGAGCTGCTCAGCTTAAAGTTCTGTCTGAGATCTAGCACTCTAATGTAGGAAAGTCAGCTGGAACAAACTTGAATCTTACAAATTTGTCAAAATTCCTAACACCTTTGTAAGAGAGTCACAGTACAGCAATGTGCCTCTGTATTTTTATATAACAGGCCAAGCCACTTTTTATTCAAAGGAATAACTTTAAATAACTGGGGCTAGAGTTCCAATTAGACTGCTTCTGTCCCTCTCTGCAGGAAGTGGGTTACCTCTGTCTAGAACGTCTACGAAGAACAATACAGAGTCCAAAATGAAAACTTTTAAAATTTTACACCACTGTCTTAACCAGTGTCTCAGTGGTCTTCTTGTCCTATGCCCTCAGTATTGTGGTTACTCCTGGATTATAACATGTGGTTTGTCTGTATCATACAACAGATGGCGAGCTGAAACACAGATGAACTTCACCAATCTTTGTTTTCATATATATAATTAAGCCATGGTATAATTGGTGAGTTCACAAAAGTAGTTCACAGTGATGGAGACACTTCAGAGAGAGCATGGAGATAGAGCTCTACAGAATGGCTGGGAAAAGAGTTCGGGGGAGGACAGAAAAATCTCAAAGCCCAACAAAAAATATCTAGCAAATGAAGAGGAAAACTACATTTCACCCCACCCCCACACACCGGGGGTGGGGTGGGGGGGAAGATGGCATCATGCAAAGACAAGAATTACATTTTTTTCCTTTCAATAAGATCATGAAGTATAGGAAACAGACTTCAAAAGCCAAGAACCTCTCAAACATAAGAGAGTCGCCCATGAGCCCTGGAAGTTCTCAGAGGAAGAATGGGAAAACAAGGGTGTTTCCTCTGCAGAAAAGAGTAAGCATCAATAGGAGAAACTGAACCCAGAAGGGACTTCACCTCCCTGGCCACCTTGAGTGAAGTATCTAAAAGAGGGGGGATATGCAGCATCCATGGGAAATTTCAGCTTATATGACCCAGTGACTGATTTATTGTATGTAATTTCTGTTCACAAAACGTATTTTCTAATAGCTGTACAGGAAATGTGTTGAGGAGGCCATATCCATTGGAAAGATCTGTTCTGTATTATGGGGCTTCCCAGGTGGCTCAGTGGTAAAGAATCCTCCTGCCCATGCAGGAGACACAGGAGATGAGGATTTGACCCCTGGGTCAGGAAAATCCCCTGGAGGAGTAAATGGAGGAGTAAACCCACTCCAGTATTCTTGCCTGGAAAATTTCATGGACAGAGGAGCTTGGTGGGCTACAGTCCATGGGTCACAAAGAGTTGGTCACAACTGAGTACATACATAGGCATATTCCGTATTATGGACACCTACCTCCACCAAGTGCTGGGAAAAAGAAGAAAATCTGCCTCCATAAGAATCGCAGCCTATGAATCTAATTGACTGGAGAGTGTCACACTGATGTAGGGGCTAGGCTCAACTGTGGCTAACCCAATAGGCATTTTTAAACATTTGCAGCACTGGGTTATATCCTTCTAAATGCTCAAAGCTATTATCCTTCTTTCTCATTTCCTCCTATCAAAAGAGAACAAGATCTTTTATCACATCCCTCTCATGGAAAATAATGCAAAGCATTTACAACCATCTCATTTTATTATGCAAACATTCGCTCAGAGTCTAGCATACACCAGACGCTGGAATAGGTTCTAAGGATGAAAAGAGGGTTGTGATTGACACCTGCCCCTGTGAAGCTCAGGAATCAGTGAGTACTTAGCTTCTTTATGATTTCTCTCCTTTCAGCTACTTTCCTCTCTCAGTTGTGTCCTCCAAACCCTGCTGTCTTAGTCCACAAACTACATTTCAGCTTGATCTCCTCACTGAAGACTTTCCTGCTTTCTCTTCACTGAGACTCGTCTCTTCCCTAAGGTCTTCGAGTCCCCCAGATCATACTCCTTTAGAAGATATTCATCTGCCATGGCCCCTGCATCTAGAAGCCAGAAGTGAAGTGGGAATTCATCAAGAGTAGGAAGTTGGATGCACAAGTGCAGAGCCCAAGAGAAACATCTGGGCAGAGCCAGAGATTGAAAATCACTCGCTTATAGC